CCCTTATAAGAGAGATCAATTAGGAAAACCACACAAAAAGGTAAATAAAATGCCAACTAGTAACATATGGGACATGGGCTGTTATAAGCCTGATTCTATCACAATATTTCAATAGCAATCGAGTCCCTCCCCAGAGTTCAGGGTTTACTTTCAAAATTACTTTTATACAATATCTTTTCCTGCCCTGGTACAAAATGTTCCTGGAGGATTTCTAGAAGGTTTTCACACTGACCTTGTTTGCGTAATCATGCCTACCATTGTATGTTATCAGGGTTTTCTTGTTTTTTTATTTTTTGTTTTTCAGTTCTGTATGATTTGGGTTTAAATTCCCTGAGATCTAATAAAACCACAAATCCTCTCTCCGTTTCTCCAGGATTTTGTTTACAGGACTGTGACTCCCTTTGTGAGGCCACTTGAAGCAGACACTATTCTCATAAACGATTCCATATGGCATACATCAGGCTGATGCAGGAAGGTTCATCAGGTCATGTCCCTCTTTTCATGAAGGATGGTTGTAAACTGTTGCCTCCAACAGCTCTGAACATGGACCTGATTCCACAGTGACTGTCGTTAAGTGGAGACCCAAGAAAATGTCAGTCATAGATGGAGGTTACACTCCGACATTAAATTGTTGTCGCAGGTATTGCTATTCTCACATACAGAATCTGTTTTTGAACTCAGGGACTCATAGCTGTTGCCGCCTCACGTAAACCAGTGCGAAACCCAGCTTCTCCCACGGCGCTAACAGGACCCCAGAACCTCTGACAGACACTGGTTATACACGGGGCACCTGGGTGGCTCCATTGGTTAAGAATCTGACTTTAACTCTGATTATGATTGCCCAGTTTGTGGGTTCGAACCCTCGTCAGGTTCTGTGCTGATAGCTCAGAGCCTGGTGCCTATTTCAGATTCTGTGTCTCCCTTCTCTCTGCCCCTCTACTACTTGTGCTCTGTCTCTCTGTCTCAAAAATAAATAAACTATATGATACATTTTTTAAAGAAATTGATTATACATGATGAGAAGACTGCATAAAGGAAAGGATTTCCTAAGCATCTAAAAGAAAATAATAACAAAGAAAAGGATACATTACAAACTTAAACATTCTTCATTCTCTCCAATCTGCTTAGCAATTGTTTCCCGTAAGAAATCCCTGACTTGGGTGAGATGAGGGGTGTGTTTCTGTGTTTATTCCACAGCTCATATATACCATATGGTGTGTGTGTGTCTGTCTATGTATGTATGTATGTATGTATGTATCTATCTATCTATCTATCTATTTATCTACCTATCTGCCTGTCTGTCTAAATACCTAGGGTGAAAGAGAGAAGAAAGACAGGATACACACCATGTTGTAACAAACGGTTACCAAAATTGAACACTCACTGCCTAAAGCATAAAATTCTACTCCTTTAGTTCTCTACCTGTGAGTGATTCTTTCTCCCTGTCAAGGTCTTTTTACTTTCATCTTCTTGAAAGTCCCAGGGTAAGTATAATTCATTAATTAATGATTATTAAAGTGTCTTAAAACATTAGCCTGGAAACAGCAGATACCAGAGGCTATAGAAATCTCTAGTTCATCCTGTGGTTTGGAGATACTCATCCAATCAACCAGAATGGGGCGGCTCTGTCTCGTCCAGGACAGTAGCTGAGAGGAATCCAAGCAGAAAGGCCATTCTCCTGTCAGATAGTGACTCGGACACTCAAAGCCACATCTTCAGGGTCTCTGGAGCTTTCTCAGAAAGGCAGGGCTGTGAGCACTGTGTCTTTCTAAACATTCAGATCCTTCTTCCCACACAGCAGTAAGGAATTTGTCTCTGGTAGTTTCCCTCCAAGCACAGAACACATGGGAAGGTACTTTGCTCACAGGAGAGGTCCCTGTGGCCCTGCCTTTGGCTCTTTCCCCTCTGCCACACCCCCCAGGGGATTTGCATGTGGTCCCCTGGGAGGCCCTGCCCTGTGACATAAAGCTCAGCTCTGTGCTTCTCTTTACCTGTGAGGACCCATCAGTCCCACTTCTCACAATGAGGTTCCCTGCTCAGCTGCTGGGGCTGCTGGTGCTCTGGATCCCAGGTGAGGGCGGAGGGGGTGAGAGAGGAGCACGGGGTGTGGGGGGAGAGCTCTGGGGGCACCACTGCTCCCCATGTGTATTCTGTCCAAGATGGGACTGCCCTTCAGCAAGGGGAATTTAATTTGGGGGCCTGGGAAAGCAAGAACAAACAGAAAGGAACAAGGAACAGTGCTTTAGTGAGATGCTGGGGAATAAAGAGGCTGCTTTGTGTCTGCAATTCTTGGGTTTCCTTTGGACATTGAATATAATTAAATATGAATCCAATCACAAAAAAAATGATTTTGCTGAAAACACACCAAAAAAAAACCCCCTTAAAATCAGAAAAAGTGGCATAAAATTGTGCTTCCCTCTCATTACTTCAGGATCCAGTGGGGATGTGGTGCTGACGCAGACCCCTCTCTCCTTGCCTGTCACCCCTGGACAGCCGGCCTCCATCTCCTGCAGGGCCAGTCAGAGCCTCCTGCACAGTAATGGAGGCAGCCTTTTAAACTGGTTCCTGCAGAAGCCAGGCCAGTCTCCACGGCTCCTCATCTCTTGGGCTTCCAGCCGGGCTTCTGGGGTCCCAGACAGGTTCAGCGGCAGCGGGTCAGGGACAGATTTCACCCTGACAATCAGCAGGGTGGAGGCCGAGGATGTTGGAGTTTATTACTGCATGCAAGCTCTACAATCTCCTCACACAGTGGTTCAGCCCCGAACACAAATTTCTGTTCCATGACACTCAGCTGCCCCAGCTGGTAGCTTCTCTGGGGAACACACAGAACGTTCTCTGAGGCTGTGTGAGAGGAAGGTGCTAGAGACTCGGGGACAGCCTGCAGCTGGGCAGTAAGGCCCCTCAGCGGCACAGCAGGGGGCAGAACCAGCAGGGAAATGGCAGGGATCCTGTCCTGTGAGGAATGGGTCACTGTGAAGGAAAGAGCCAATGACAGCCCCGCCCCATCCCCGGTCCCAAGCCTGTGCTTTCAGTTAAATATCGCCAGTCTAATCACGAGTCAAGTCACATAGATATTTGGTGACTGATTAATCCATACTGGAGATGAACAGTGTGGGGTACATTTTCCACAGCAACTTTTGCTAATGTTGGTAATGGTGGTATTTCTCACTGTCTCTTTTTCTCACTTCTCTGCTACTTTCCCTACCCCTCCATTCATATGTTGAAGAGAGCACCCTGCTCAAGCTCCCTCCCTGAGAGTATGAATGAGAAAGATTATTAACCATGTTTAATCCTGATCAAATTACCTCTTTGAAAATATTCTGCAAATGTAAGATTCCTGTGCCAAGATTCTTTGCTTTCCTTCCATTGCATTTTTTCTATGTGAAAAGGGGATTCTTGCATTTTCAAAAGTGATGACCCTGAATAACATATTTTGGGGAAATGTACAGTAAATTCATGCATTGGGTACATTCCCTTCAATAGATTCATGACCTTCAACGTGAATTGTGACCTAATCACGGGTCATGCCGTTAGGTCCTCACATACATGACAGAAGCAAGAGTGATTAAATCCATAAATATCTAATCTTGTGCCTAGTTAAGAAAATAAAGTGTGCTAGGGATGATTGTCTCTTCCAAGGTAATGAATATCATGACAGGTACAATTAGATCCAATGTTTCAATTCTGGTTGCTATGACAGGCATTGGGGAAATGTATACAGAAATCAAGCAGCCCAGAGCCCACACAGCATGGCAGCCAGGTGATGGGTCTGAAACCCCTTTTCTAAGATGCATGTTCATCATTATTGATTGAGATCTACAAATCCACTGCTTTCTTGTCTCCAACAAACTTTGGTAAATGGTGTTTTCCTTCAACTCAGGAAACTTTCTAGTTTCCATTTCTGTTCTTTCTAGTGTACATATTTGTTCTTTCCGGATCCCACTTTTACCTGGTGAGTTCTTACTTAGTTTTTAAATGTTTGGGGATTTTTTGATAACTTTTTGTTTCTGGCTTGAATACATTTCCCTGTTTCCATTGAAAACTTTTTATGACTTGTATCCATTTTAATTCTTATTGACATAACCTGTGGCCCACATTGTGATCTATACGGTGAATGCTTTGAGTGAATGTGTATTTTATGATCTTCAGCATAGCATCCTCCATGTATGCATTATGTCCCTATGGTTTATTGATGTCACTTTCAAGGCCTTTGTCTCCTCACTGGCCCCAGGGACAGGCTGCCTGCACCAGGGGCTGGACCTGCTGCAGCGCCCTCCTCTGCTCTGGGCCCCACTCGATGCTGCCTGACTTCATGTCACCTGGTCCCAGGGCCAGACCAGTCCTCCTAGAGGTGGATGGGTTTGTCCCAGCGTCAGGGACACCAAAGGTGATTCCTTCTGAGAGGCAAAGACAGACGCTAAACACAATGGAAGGGAAGATACCCTCAATCCTGGTCATGGGGTCCCCAGGCAGGGATCTCTCACCAACAAGGAAAAATATTTTATGGAAATAATCAGTCTAAAATTTTACTGAGGGCTGCTGGAATGCTAGACCATAAGAGAGCCGCTGTGTGGGTTGAGGTTGATCCCTGCTCACTAGGGTAAGAATAGGAAATGTGGGGGGAAATGTGCCCGAGGAGGGCCTCATCAATTATTACAGCCTATAGTTTTCTGTGAAATCTCATAAATCCATCATGTGACTGCTCCAGGAGACTCAGAACTCATTCATTCTATTTTTCTTTTATTTTGTATATTGTTTCTTTTATTTCTGATCCTTATTCTGTGCAAGGCCGAGTAGGTGCTTTAGAAAAATCAACGTGCAGATTTCTGGAAGCACTGCTAAGTGAAGGCAGGTGAGGCTTCAAGCAGCATTTGAACCTTGGGTGCCCCTGGGCTCCTGCTACAAAAGGCCAAATGGATGTAAAGGTCACTGTGCGCAGCTGTGGCTCCCATAGGTCACTCTGTCACTCTCTTCATTTACTGATGCAGACGGAACCTGTATGTCCCTTTAGGGCACAGAGTGGCCACTGAATACTCCATTCAGCTCTTGCCTCTTGGTCTGAAGTTCGTTTTGTGTTAACTGAGATCAGAAGAAGGGGTCAAAGGGAATTTCAGGTAATTTTTAAAAATCAGTTTAAGTGATTTAACCTGATCTTTATTATTCTAGAGGGTTTAATATTCTCTTCAAAATTTGTATAAACATTTTGTAGATTCTTGAAAGAGCTGAATATGGAAGAGTGAATTTGAGATTCGCATCTTATAGTATCCATTTTTCTGCAAATAGACCAGCTTTTCTAAATAAAAAAGAAACAAAGAAAATTATTTTTTTCCTAGAATACTAAATTCAATTTCTCTCTTCCAAGTCTCAAATTCTTTCTTTAACAGAACTTCAACTAAGTTTAAAAGGCTAGAATCATTATGTCTCAAGCAAACCAGGCTTTCTACAAGGTCCCAACAGGCGGTGTAAGCAATTATTAAATTTGCAGACAAGCTGTGGCTTTGAGACCATTAGAGCCGTGACTCCCCTTTCTGCCAGGGCGAGCCTAGGGCAGGTCTTAGAGGAGGTGAAAACTTACCAGGCAGAGAAGCTCGGATGGCAATAGAGTTATTATCTTACTCTGCCCGGTTAGTCTGCACACAGCAGAGTTTCACACTGACAGACAAAATGCCTTCATCTCCAGCACATGAACTGTGTACCTGTATGTGATTTTTTATACTGATTTCAAAAAAAGGAAACAAAACTAAGACAAATAGTTGGATACAGATTCATAATCAGCAGAGGAAGAGTAAGGTCTTGGGATTCAGAGAAGTCAGGTGGGTACACATGCCTGGTCTCTCAGGGCTTTGAGAGAACCTCTCTGCTCGGAGGATGAAACACATGCATGAGCCTCCCCGACCTCCCTGTACCCCGGGAGTCATCCTATCATGGGTAAAACATTGTAGTTGTTGTGAAGAGACAGACATATTTAATCCCAGGGGCCTCAGGGGCAGGACTCCCCTCCAGGTCACCTACGGTTCGAGGTGTCCTCTTTGGCCGGGTTGATCTCAGTTCTCTGACAATGACGTCACCGGATCTTTAATCAGGATGTACCTCCATTCGTGTCCATGGAGGGAGGAGGCCTCTGTGAGTCTCTAACCCTGATCAAAACAGCGTGGGTTTGGACTGTTTGGACCCACAAAGTGTACAGCACACATGCCCACAATGTGGGAGAGTCTCTTACTCTTCACCTGTGACAGGACACAGACTCAGAAGTGCCCCCTGCAACACTGCCTTCCCACATCACACTCATGCTTCTAGTGTCATTGAGCCTGAACTAATCTCCTCCAACACGGACAAAACTAAAGCAACACCCACCTGTGTAAGATTGTTTCTCAATCAGCTGCTGATGGTCAAATATAGACACACAGAGCTGCTCTGTCCCCCACACACGCCCCACATGTCCCTTCACCAGATGTAAGCATTTGTGTCCAGGCTGCAATGACCAACCTGGCTCATGGGTACTTTTGGTGTCCAGGGCACAGGATGGGGTCTGTTAGAATTAAGAGCATCACACTTTCTCTCTACAGGGAGTATAGGAAAGACGTGAAGCCTGTGTGACCAATTTTATAGAAAGTTACGTGTGTGGTGTATTTCAGGGCTACAGATTATGTGATAAAACAGCAGCCAGAATCAGAGACTCTTACAGATTTTACATTAAACTCAAAGTAAATAACAAAACTGCCTGAAACTGAAGCATTGTAAAGACTACTTTGTAAGAGTAGCCTTTCAGGCATTGATTGGTAACAAAAGAAAATACATGTTTCTCATTGTTCCTTTTTTTGTCACAATCCACGTTTCCAATTTGGGTGGTCTTCTCCAAGCCTGCCAGAACAAAGTACCACAAAGCTGGACGTCAAAAGGGCAATACTCTCCAGTGCTGGAGCTCTGGGGTCACAACTTCTGGAATAATGCTGGTGAGCTGCTCTGACCCAGCACCCAGGTCCCTAGTGAGCACCTTCAATGCAAGTGCATGGAAATGTGCAGGATACACTGAAAGTTGAAGGGAGTGAATCCTGTTTCTCTTGTTCTAACACACAGAACCTTCTTCTAAACTGGGAACTCATGGCTGTGGCTGCACAAAATACATGAAAAGAGAGAGTATATGTGGGAAGAGATTTTCCATAACTATGCAGAAAAAAATAATTTAAAATTATGCCTTGATCCTTCCGTTCCACTATATTTATTACCAGAAACATACATTTCTTTTGCCCTTTCCTCCTGTCTTTAACAGAGCTAGATACCAGTGGAGAACACTTTTGCACTGGGTGGTGGGGACAAACTGGTGCGGCCACTCTGGAAAACACTATGGAGGTTCCTCAGAAAATTAATAATAGAGCTGGGCTGAGACCAAGCAATGACACCTCTAGGTATTCATTCAAAGGATACAAACATGCTGATTCAAAGGGGTACATGCCCTTAAATGTTTATAGCAGCGCTAGCAACAATAGCCAAACTATGGAAAGAGCCCAAATGTCCATCAATTGATGAATAGATAAAGAAGACACACACACACACACACACACACACACACACACACACACAGAGACAGAAAGAATGGAGTATTATTCAGCAATCAAAAGAATGAAATCTTGCCACTTGCAACAACATGGATGAAACTAGAGAGTATTAAGCTAAGTGTAATAAGTCAGTCAGAGAAAGACAAATGTCATGTGACTTCACTCATATGTGGAATTAAGAAACAAGACAGATGAACATAGGCCAAGGGAAGAAAAAATAAGATGAAAACAGAGAGGAAGGCAAACCACAGTGACTCTTAAATGTAGAGAACAAACTAAGGGTTGCTGGAAGGGTGTTGAGTGAGGGAATGGGCCAATTGCGGGATGGGCATTAAGGAGGGCACTTGCTGGAATGAGCACTGGGTGTTATATTTATATGATGAATCACTAAATTCTAGTCTTGCCACCAGTATAGCACTATATGTTAACTACCTTGGATTTAAATTTTAAAATAAGTAAAACAAACGCATACACAAACAGAACTATCAGCTCTCTAAGTGACGTACAGAGATTTTATTTTATTTTTTCTGGTGTGGTCAAGATCTTCTGACCTGAGTGCTTTAGGGAGTTTCATTCACAGGGCCTAACACTTGTATCCAGCTTTCTCCAACAGCAGACCCCAGACCTCTCGGGAACTACCTCCAGTCACTACAGTTATCTGGAGAAAATTCTGGGGGTCACTAGCAGTGGAGGTGGGAGCTCTTGATTTCTCTAGACCAGCGGGAGCCAGGCAAGATCATTAAATGCAGTGAAGCTGAGATCCAACCAGAACTGAGAACCTGACGTCCTGCTTTCCTGTGCACGTGTCACCCTGTGTTCCCGGCCCTTCCCAGGGGCGTGGGGGAGGCCAGCGGTACAGAGAAGACAGAAACAACAGCAGACATCACCACTGAGAGAGTAAAATAAAATGTGTTGCACATACAGACTGATTGAGTCTCTGCGGACTCCAATTCTCCTCTGCAGTCGCCGCATTGCTAAAGTGCTGGGCGACGAAACCTTGGGCGGCCTCTGTAGTGTCCAGATCCCAGATATGGTGGGTGAACAGCAGTTCAGAAACCGCTGACATCTGACTTAAATGTTGGCATCACTCCCTAATGTGGCCACACTCTGCCATAGAGCCCGGATAGCAATTATGACTTGTTACAGACGTCGGAAATAAAACAGGTTTGAAAGTGTACAGGAAGGAAGGTCACTTTATGCTCTAAATGACAGGGTACCATAACAGGAAAAACAACTCAAGATGTCTCCCTGCACATGGCCGCAAGAGGGCGCCCATGGACCATGGGACGCCAGAAGGGTCTTGGTTGTGTCTAGGGATCATGGTCAAAGCCCAGACTGACTTAACATGTGATTATTATTTCTTATTATCACTAAATAGTGCTGGAGACCCGCTCCAGCAGGTCCAGGGGTCCCAGAAGGATGGATGGTGTTGGCGAAAGAGAGAGTGAGAGAACCCCGAGATTCTTTCTGATCACCAAGGCAGGCATCTCTGCACTGTCGGTTTTGGTGTCTTTATTGCAAGGTCCAACGACAACATGAGATCAGAAAAAGGAATTTTTACAATGGAAAAGTCTGTGATAAGATGCTTTGAAAAGTGTACAAGAACAGGTTTTTCAGAAGTATTCTTGCAGAATTACCCCAATCACAGTGAGGTTGAGTAAATCTTACAACTACAGAAATAACAGGGAGTTCTTAGTGAAAAACAGGACAACATACATATCCTAAGTTAATAACGCTAGGATTAGGACGTAGGTTAAGTTGTACATAGATAGGCTAGGAGTCATTCTGTCTGGCTCACGAGAGGATGAATGTTTGTGAGCTGGTTAATAAACTTTTTTGTCTTAATGCTGAATGTCTAAACACTATGGAGGCCCTAAATGTGTTAGCCTTTGTTGTGGGGTTATGTTTTAGCTACTCTTATCTATCCCCATCCCAGCCACCAGTGTAAGGGAGGGTGTTTGTGGAAAGTAGGCCTTAGGGAAGGGACTGTCATACATCACCAGTTAGAAAAGGTAGAAGTATTAACTTAAGCTCTGCCCTTATCTGTTCCTTAACTCTAAATTAGGCTCTTTGTTTTAGGGCCAGGCTCAATGGTAACTCTTGTGTTCTTAACCCCCTTTATGATCTAAGTCTTAGATTTACAAGGTCCATAATAGGAAGAGCCTTTTGACAATCATCCACAATGCTTTCATCTGAAATCTCTTTTGAAAAGGCAGGAATATGCTTTTCCTTAGGACGTATCTGTGTGGGGAATATCGGTCTGATTTGGAATATTGTGAGGCCTGGTCAATACCAGCAGCTCGTTTCCAATATGAGCCAGTAGTAGCAGAAGGAGATACCAGTTGTCGCTTCTCATGGCAGGAGCGTTGCAAACACTGCTATTTCCCCCCTGTGACTGTGTCATCCAGCGAGGCCGGTGAGGCACCCAGCACTAGGTACTTATGGTTTCAGGTCTCACATTTAAGTCTTTAATGCATTTTGAGTTTATTTTTGTGTGTGGTGCAAGAAATGCGTCCAGTGTCATTCTTTTGCATGTAGGTGTCCAGATTTCCCAGCACTGTTTTTTGAAGAGCCTTCCCCCATTGTATGTCCTTGCCTCCTTTGTCATAGGTGAATGGACTTGATAAACAAGGGTTTATTACTGGGCTCTCTGTTCTGTTCCATTGATCTATGTGTCTATGCTTTGTGCTAGTACCGTACTGTTTTGATTACTATAGCTTTGTAGTCTAGTTAGAAACCTAGGATGGTGATACTTCCAGCTTTGTTCTTCTTTCTCAAGGTCGCTCTGGCCATTCAAGGTGAAACTATTCACATAGAAGTGTAAACTGTACCTGAGAAAAAGCTAAAAAACTAGAAATATGACAGGGCAAACAGAACGAAACATTTGAATATGTCTCTTCTCCCACTCAGGAAGCAGAGACTGTATCTCGATTAGTTTTGCTCCAAACACAGAAAATCTTTTCTGTTGCTTTACTCACATGAGAGGCCATACCCCCCTCCTGCTGGCTCTTTATACATGGCTGCATCCACAGCGGATTTGCATAGCGTCCCCTGGGAAGGACCTTCCTTTGCAAGTCTGAGATAAAAGATCAGCTCTCAAGGTGTCTGGACTTAGCAGGGCTCATCCACGTAACTCTCAGGATGAGGTTTCCTGCTCAGCTCCTGGGGCTCTTCCTGCTCTGGACGCCAGGTGAGGGCAGAGTGCCCAAAGAGGAAGGAAATCGGGCTGGTGGGGGGGCTCGGAGGGGACACTGCTTCCCACACAAACCTTGTTGGCCTGAGGGCTGAGTGGTCTTGCCCTGTGGGACGTGGCAGGTGAACGTTAGATCTGAAAGAGAGGAATATTCTGGAAGGAACAGGACATGTGTGTACTCTGCTAATTACTTAAGCACCAAAGGGGGGTGGCTTAGGTAACTGCTAGAGACCCTTTTATGTCCTGCAAATCTCTGGTTCTTTCTTGAAAGTAGGAAGTTTTGAGTCCTGATCAAATTCATGTACTATGCAATTTTTAAGTCTGAAATAAACAGTAAAAGGGAAATTATGAACTTTTCTCACAAAGTTTGCACATAACCTTGCACTTCTCTCTTCTTCCTTTAGGATCCAGTGGGGATGTCGTGCTGACTCAGACCCCGGGGTCCCTGCCCGTCACCCTTGGACAGCCGGCCTCCATCTCCTGCAGGGCCAGTCAGAGTCTCAAGGACAGTGATGGAGACAGCCTTTTAAACTGGTACCTGCAGACGCCAGGCCAGTCTCCACGGTGCCTGATCTATTGGGCTTCCAACCGGGCCTCTGGGGTCCCAGACAGGTTCAGTGGCAGCGGGTCAGGGACAGATTTCACCCTGAGAATCAGCCGGGTGGAGGCTGAGGATGTTGGAGTTTATTACTGCATGCAAGCTACACACGATCCTCCCACAGTGATTCAGCCCCGAACACAAACCTCTCTGTGTGGCGTGTCACCACCCTCCACGTGTGTTGCTTGAGTGGGGAGCAGGCACAGCAGAGCCTCCATTGTCCTAAGAGGCAGGTGCTGGGGATGTCAGGGCATCACATGCAGCTGAGGGCTCTGGACCGTGTGGTGGCCCCTCAGCTGCACCAGCCCAGCACAGCAGGACCCGCCCCAGAGCAGAGGTGATCGATGTGCCCTCTGAGCTGTACGAGGGAAGGGAGAGTAGACCTGAACCCCATGACACCCCCCCCACCTGTGTGCATGGGTCAAGGACATGAATTCATCTGAAGAGTCAGAAAATGGAGGAATATTTGTGACAACACAAGTTGAATATATTTGGAGCTAACAAACTTTGCTATTTTTCAGTACCATAATATTTGGTATCGTGCAGATATTATTTTTCTTTTTTGCATGTTCTGAACTTCTTCATTACCAGTTACATGAATCCCTCTTGTACAGTGTTCTCCAGCCAATGTTCCATGCACACTATTCCACAGCAAGCATGGCTGAGAACGCTTTGTCAGAGCGTTGTTTAAGGACCCAAACACACTGTTGTAACTTCATAGCACAGATGAGCTTCTGCTCCTGTAAAGAAGATGCGGTCATTACACACAATGGACGTCACTCACCACAGAAGAGAATGAAGTACTGCATTTGCAACAACATGGGTGACCCATGATGGTATTATGGTAGGTGACTTACGTCAGATGGAGAAGGACAAATACCATATGATTAGGATTTCATTTATATATGGAATCTAAAAAGCAAATCAAAGGAAAGACATCAAAAGACATATAAACAGACAGATAGATACAGAGAACAAACTGGTGGTTGCCAGATGGGAAGCAGGCAAAGGGAATGGAAAAAAGGGGCTAAAACATGAGAGGCCCAGCCTTCCGGTTACGAAACAGTAAGTCACTGTGATGAAAGCACAGGGAACACAGTCAGTGCTCTTGTCATAGTGTCCATGGGGACAGATGACAGCTACACCTGTGAGCACAGCATAGCCTATGGGCTGGTGTTATCTCTATGTCATACACCTGAGCCCAATGTCACATTGTGTATCTCCATACTTCAGTAAAACTACAACAACAACAAACATGAACATGCATGCATGCGTGCACAACCAGAAGAACCTATCCAGGAAGATTTTATTTGTCTCAATGACCTTTTTCTGAAGACAAAGGGAGTTCTCAGAATTGCTAAGTAGATTTGAGAAAACAAACCAAGCTTAATAATGTAGAGCATAGAATGTACCTCACAGACCACAGGAAGTGTAAGAATGACATGAAATTTGTTTCAAAAAAGGGATCATTTTAAGATCACCTAGCCTAAATATTCCTTTGGAGATGACAATTTTGGTACAATATTGACAAAATATATTTCATGCAATAGATAAACACATTAGTTTTACAGAAGATGGTCTTCCCTAAAAATGAACTGTATTGTATGTTCTGTTGAAAATGTAAATAAATTATATGCTTTGAGTAGATGGCTATTAAAATAGCGTTCAAACATTATATCTGACCTAACTTGGGCTCATAACAATTACCTATCATAACACAGTGCTTTAGAAGTAAAAGAATGATTTAGGGGCACCTAAGTGGCTCAGTCGGTTAAGAGTCCAACTATGGCTCAGGTCATGAACTCACAGTTGGTGAGTTCGAGCCCCGCATCAGGCTTGGTGCTTTCAGTGTATAGCCTTCTTGGGATTCTCTGTCTATGTCTCTCTCTATGCCCCTCCTCTGGTAATGCTCTCTCTCCTCTCTGTCTTTCTCTCAAAATAAATAAATGAACTTTTTTTAAAAAGTTAAAAAAAAAAAAGAACAACAACAAGGTGTCAGTGTATTTCCACCCACATTCACAGTGGACACACAGGTCCATCCTAAATTGTTCTCATCCATCCCATGGTCACAGGTATAGAGTCGGGGGAAGTTGCCCAAGTCTAGGAGCAGGACACCGGGGGACCCTGCAGTGTCACATCCCCAAACATAAACCTCCCCAGAAGGCTCGCCTCTCAGGGTGGCAGCAGCGGTGGTACCAGAGGACCAAAAGCTCTGATGGCCATTCCTGATGCCGCCTCCCCCATCCCCTGAGATGGCCCCAGGGCACACATGTCTGCCCTGCCCCCACGCTGTCTCTGAGTGCAGGCAGAGTGAGCACTGAGTCCCTGCATGACCCACAGTCACGTGGGATCACGTTCTCATTCCTGCAGATTGTGTGGACTTGACTTTATAGGTTTTCTCCCAGACACAGAAGACCTTATATCACACTTTGCTCAAAGGTAGGCCCCTCCCACAACCTTCCAGCCCTTTCTGCACCACAACCTGCTGCACCCTCAAGGGGATTTGCATAGTGTCCCCCAGGGAGGACCTTCCCCTTAAAGTCTGGATAATAGGTCAACTTGAATCTGGATTTGATTTGTCAGGACTCCTCAGGTCAACTCCTCAAAATGAGGTTCCCTGCTCAGCTCCTGGGGCTGCTAGTGCTTTGGTTCCCTGGTAAGGACAGAGGGAGTGGGAAAGGAGAGCCAGGACGGGAGCGTGAGTTCAGGGGACAACACTGTCCCCAGGTGTATTCTGTGTGCGTGTCAGACATGTGTGACTCGTCCTTCGGGATGGGGCAGGTGAGGTTTAGATCTGTGAGAGTGAGGATGTTTCCAGAAGGAACAAGGGCCTGGGCACTAGTGAAGGACTGTGACACAGAAGGTGGGGAGGCAGTCAGCGATGGTTAGACATCTCTCTCCTCTTCACAGATGTCACGTTCATTATTGCGATTGTGCATTTTTGGTGCCTGCTGGAAGTCACAAGTAATGGGAGAAACACAAAGTCATATTTTAGCTACATTAAATGGGAGGGAAACAATGAAACTTGCTAAAAATATTTGAATCTGACTTGGCACTTCTCTGTCCTTTCTTTAGGATCCAGTGGGGATATTGTGCTCACCCAGACCCCTCTGTCCCTGCCCGTCACCCCTGGACAGCCGGCCTCCATCTCCTGCAGGGCCAGTCAGAGCCTCCTTCACAGTAATGGAAACACCTATCTGTACTGGTTCCTGCAGAAGTCAGGCCAGTCTCCACGGTGCCTGATCTATGGGGTTCTTGACAGGTTCAGTGGCAGCGGGTCAGGGACAGATTTCACCCTGAAAATCAGCAGGGTGGAGGCTGAGGATGTTGGAGTTTATTACTGCATGCAAGCTCTACAATCTCCTTGCACAGTGGTTCAGCCCTGAACACAAACCTCCCTTCCTGGGCAGTCAGCTGCCCCACCTGGTCTGAGGCTGTGTGAGAGGAAGGTGCTGGAGACTCGGGGACAGCCTGCAGCTGCGCAGTAAGGCCCCTCAGCGGCACAGCCTGGGGGCAGAACCAGCAGGGAAATGGCAGGCGATCCTGTCCTGTGAGGAATGGGCCACTGTGAAGGGAAGAGCCAATGACAGCCCCGCCCCATCCCCGGTCCTCCACCTGTGCTTTCAGTTAAATGTCACCAGTCTAGTCACCAGTCAAGTCACATAGATATTTGGTGACTGATTAATCCATACTGGAGATGAACAGTGTGGGATATATTTTCCACAGCATCGTTTGCTAATATTGGTAATGGTGGTATTTCTCACTGTCTCTTTTTCTCACTTCTCTGCTACTTTCCCTACCCCTCCATTCATATGTTGAAGAGAGCGCCCTGCTCAAGCTCCGTCCCTGAGAGTATGGATGAGAACTATTAATAAGCATGTTTAATTCTGATCCAATTAACTTTTTGGAAATTTTCTGAAATGTAAGATTCCAGTACCAAGATTCTTTGTTTTCCCTCCACTGCATTTTTTCTAAGTGAAGTGGAGATTCTTGCAATTTCAAACGTGATGACTCTGAAAAATCTATTTTGGGGAAATGTATAGTAAATTCATGCATTGGGTATATTCCCTTCAATAGAATCGTGACCTTCAATGTGAACCTGCCCTGCTCACGGGTCTTGCCTTTAGGTCCTCACACACATGACAAAAGCAAGAGTGATTAAATCCACATGTATCTAATCCTGTGCCTAGTTTAGAAAATAAAGTATATAGGGATGATTGCCTCTTCCAAGATAATAAATATCATGACAGGTACAATTAGATCCAATGTTTCAATTCTGGTTGCTATGACAGGCTGTGGGAAAACGTATACAGAAATCTAGCCACCCGGAACCCACACAGCATGGCAGCCTGGGTGATGGGTTTGAAACTCCTTTGCTAGGATGCATGTTCATCGTTATTGATTCAGACCTACAAACCCACTGCTTTCTTGTCTCCAACAAACTTTGGTAAACCGTACTTTCTTTCAACTCAGTAAACTCTCCGGTTTCCTTCTTTGTTTGTTCTGTTTCCCTTTTTATTCTTTCTGGACCTGACTTTTTACATGGCAATTTCTTACTTAGTTTTCAAATGTTTGGGGATTTTTTTGGATAACTTTCTGTTACTGGTTTTGAATATATTTCCCTGTCTCCGTTGAATAACTTTTTATGACTTGTATCCATTTTAATTTTACTGACATAGCTGGTGGCCCACATTGTGCACTATCACAGTGAATGCCCTGAGGGAATGTGTATTTTATGATCTTCAGCACTGCATCCTCCAACTATGAATTATATTCCCATGCTTGACTGATGTCACTGTTCAAGACCTCTGCGTCCTCACTAGCCCAGGGGCAGGACTCTCTGCACTGGGGACTGGACCTGCTGCAGCGCCCTCCTCTGCTCTGGCTGCATTGGAAGCCACCTGACTTCATGTCACCAGGTCCCAGGGCCAGACCAGTCCTCCTAGAGGTGGATGGGCTTGCCCAGCGTCAGGGACACCAAAGGTGATTCCTTCTGAGAGGCAAAGACAGACGCTAAACACAATGGAAGGGGAGGTGCCCCCAGTCCTGGTCATGGGGTCCCCAGGCTAGATCTCTCACCAATGGGAAAAACATTTTATGGAAATAATCAGTCTAAAATTTTATCGAGGGCGGCTGGAATGCTAGAACATAAGAGAGCCGCTGTGTGGGTTGAGGTTGATCCCCACTCACTAGGGTAAGAATAGGAAATGTGGGGGGAAATGTGCCCGAGGAGGGTCTCATCAATTATTACAGCCTATAGTTTTCTGTGAAATCTCATAATTCCATCATGTGACTGCTCCAGGGGACTCAGAACTCATTCATTCTATTTTTATGTTATTTTGTATTTTATTTCTGATCCTTATTCTGTGCAAGGCTGAGTAGGTGTTTTAGAAGAGTCAATGTGCAGATTTCTGGAAGCACTACTAAGTGAAGGCAGGTGAGGCTTCAAGCAGCACTTGAACCTTGGGTGCCCCTGGGCTCCTGCTACAAAAGGCCAAATGGATGTAAAGGTCACTGGTGCGCAGCTGTGGCTCCCATAGGTCACACTGTCACCCTCTTCATTTACTGATGCAGACGGAACTTCTATGTCCCTTATAGGGCACGGAGTGGCCACTGAATACTTCATTCAGCTCTTGCCTCTTTCTTGGTCTGAAGTTCGATTTGTGTTAAGAACTGAATAAAAGGAGGTCAAAAGGAATTTTTGGCAATTTTTAAAAATCAGTTTAAGTGATTTAACCTGATCTTTAATATTCTAGAGGGTTTAATATCCTCTTCTTCAAAATTTGTATAAGCATTTTGTAGATTCGTGAAAGAGCTGAATATGGAAGAAACAGTGCATTTGAGATTATCAGCTTATAATCTCCATTTTTCTGCATTTAGACTAGCTTTTCTAAATACAAAAAATCCAAAGAATATTCTTTTTTCCTGGAATAGAAAATGCAATTTCTCTCTTCCAAGTCTCAAATTCTTTGTTCAAAGGCAGCCTCAACTTAAATTTAAAAGATAAAGATGCTCACATCTCGGGGCGCCTGGGTGGCTTAGTCGGTTAAGCGTCAAACTTTCGCTTAGGTCATGATCTCGCGGTTAGTGGTTTCGAGCCCCGCATCGGGCTCTGTGCTGCCAGCTCAGAGCCTGGAGCCTGTTTCGGAGTCTGTGTCTCCCTCTCTCTCTGACCCTCCCCTGCTCACGCTATCTCTCTCTCTCTCTCTCCTAGAAATAAATAAAAATATTAAAAAAAAAAAGATGCTCACATCTCATGTGAACCAGTCTTTTACAAGGTGCTAACAGGGGGTGTAAACAATTATTAAATTTGCAGACAAGCTGTGGCTTCCAGACCATTGGAGCAGGGACTCCCCTTTCTTCCAGGGCGAGCCTAGGGCAGGTCTTAGAGGAGGTGAAAACTTGCCAGGCAGAGAAGCTGGGGTGGCAATAGAAGTACTGTCTTACTTTACCTGGTTAGTCTGCACACGGCAGAGTTTCACACTGACAGACAAAATGTCTTGTGTCCAGCACACGATTCTCCCACCTGATGGATGAACTGTGTGCCTCTCTACTGCTATGCTGACACACAGAGACCACCCAAGACCACTGAAGTCGAATTAAGGGTGTCATTATTACCAGCCCGGGCCACACAGAGTTAACACAGAACTTTAAATGTGCGCCCCGAGTACAAGGATTTAGAGCTTTTTATAATGAGCAAGAGTCGAGTGGGCAGTACAGAAGCAGAATTGAGCGGCTATTGTAAAAAGGCTACAAAGTGATAAAGAGAGCAGCCATTATCCTGCTGAGTAGGGAAACACTGGTTATTTTGAATGCATGGCCTTTGGTTTGGGGCAGTTTCAAGGGAATAGCCGGGATCTCAAGGACACAGTATGCAAACTGTGTCATAAATAACCCTTAATAGGGAACCTTAACCCTTATCTTCTTATTTGTGATTTTTCCTTGCACCTGGGGATAGTCACAAAGCCGTCCGAGTGCAAGTCCAGAGGGTACACTCTGGGTCAAGATGGAAGGACTGAGGCTAAATTCATGTGCAACAGTAGGATTTTTATATTGATTTCAAGAAAAAGGAAACAAAACTGAGAGAAATAGTTGGATACAGATTCATAATCAGCAGAGGAAGAGTAAGGTCTTGAGGATTCAGAAAAGTCAGGTGTGTAAACATACCTGGCTCCCTCAGAGAACCTCTCTGCTCGGACAATGAAACACATGCATGAGCCTCCCCGACCCCGCTGTGCACCGGGAGTCGCCCTCCTGTGGGTAAAACATGTAAAACACTGTAGTTGTTCAGAAGAGATGGATACATTTAATACCAGGGGCCTCAGGGGCAGGACTCCCCTCTAGTTCACCTATGGTTGGGGGTGTTCCCAATGGCCAGGTTGATCTCAGTGCTCTGAGAATGACGTCACCGGATCTTTAATCATGATGTACCTCCATTTGTGTCCATGGAGGGGGCAGGCCTCTGTGTGTGTCTGAGCTTCAACAAAACAGCTTGGGTTTGGGTTGTTTGGACCCACGAAGGGTACAGCACACATGCCCACAATGTGGGAGAGTCTCTTATTCCCCACCTGTGACAGGACACAGACTCAGAGGTGCCCCCTGCAAGACTCCCTTCCCACGTCACACTCACACTTACAGTGTCATTGAGCCTGAAATAATCTCCTCCGACAAAACACACAAAACTAAAGCAACACCCACTTGTGTAAGATTTTTTTCTCCATCAGTTGCTGAGGGTTAAGTATACAGATACAGAGCTACTCTGTCCACCCCCCCCCACCCCCCACATGTCCCTTCACCAGATGTAACCATTTGTGTCCAGGCCTGATGACCGACTTGGCTACTGGGCAGTTTTGGTGTCCAGGGCACAGGATGGTCTGTTAGAATTAAGAGCATCACACTTTCTGTCTACAGGGAGTATAGGAAAGACGTACAGCCCGTGTGACCAATTCTATAGAAAGTTACGTGTGTGGTGTATTTCAGGGCTACAGATTATGTGATAAAACAACACCCAGAAAAAGAGGCTATTAAAGATTTTACCTGAAGTTTGCAGAGAAAAACAAACTGTCTGAAACTGAAGATTCCTAAGGAATACTTTGTAAGAGTAGCCTTTTCAAGCATTGATTTGTAACAAAAGAAAACACACGTTTCTCACTGTTACTCTTTTTCTCCCAATCCAAGTTACCAATTTGGGGGATTCGTCTCCACGCCTGCCAGAACAAAGCTCCACAAAGTTGGGGGTCAAAAGGGCACCATTCTTCAATGCTGGAGCTCTGGAGGCATGAAGTCTGAAATCAATGCTATGGAGCACCTCTGACCCAGCACCCAGGTCCCTAGTGAGCGTCTCTGATGCAAGTCCATGGAAATGTCCAGGATACACTAAACTTGAAGGGAATGAATCCTGTTTCTCTTGTTCTAACACACAGAACCTCCTATTAAACTGGGAACTCATGGCGGTGGCCGTGCAAAATATATGACAAGAAAGAGTCGATGTGGGAAGAGATTTTGTAGAACCATTCAGTGAAACTAATTTAAAATTATTCCTTGGTCATTTTCTTCCATCATATTTACTCCCCAAAACATACATTTCTTTTGTCCTTCCCTCTTGTCTTCAACAGAGCTAGATACCAGTAGAGAACAATTTTGCACTGCTGGTGGGAATGCAAACTGGTGCAGCCACTGTGGAAAACAGTATGGACGTTCCTCAAAGAATTAAAACTAGAGTTGGGCTAACACTGTGCAATTGCACTGCTAGGGATTATCCAAAGAATGCAAAAATGCTGATGTGAAGGGGCACGTGCATCCCAGTGTTTATAACAGCGCTATCAACAGTAGCCAAACTATGGAAACAGCCCAAATGTCCATCGACTGATAAATGCACAAGGAAGCTGTGGTAGATATATTCACAGTGGAATAATACAATACAGACATCAAAAATGTGTGCTTTCCTTTTTGAACAAAGTGGATGGAACTGGAGTGTATTCTTCTAAGCATAGTAAGTCAGCCACAGAAAGACACATATCATATGACTTCACTCATACGTGGAATTTAAGAAACAAAACCGATGAACCTAGGGCAAGGGAGGGAAAAATAAGATTAGAACATAGACGGAGGTAAGCCATAAGAGACTCTTAAATGTAGAGAACAACCTGAGGATTCTTGGGGGGTTGTTGAGTGGGGGACAGGCTAAATGGGGGGTGGGCATATAAGGAGGGCGCTTGTTGGGATGAGCACTGGGTATTATATGAAGAGATGAAAACCTAAACTTTACTCTTGAAACCATCATAACACTATATGTTAACTACCTTGGGTTTAAATTTTAAAATAAGTAAAACAAAGTCTTTTTTATCAGAAAAGAATTCTTCTTTTTGAATTTTCCAAATTCTTAAAGCCAACAAATGGAGATAAAACAACCAGTTAAAATGGCAGACATTTAAGGAGGAATCAATTAATTTTCACAGGAGGTAGTAATATTTTATCAAAATAAGTGTCTTAAAATATTTTGTAAGTGATAGTATTTTAAGAATCAATGTGTAATTAAACAAAAGCATGACAGGTGTCTTGCTGCTATTCATTTCCCCATAAATTGTGTTTCTATCCTGGAGAGTAGGTAAAACTGATTGATTTATACCTTTGCAGAATGACCCTTTAAAAGTAGGTGAAGATATATGATATTGTTCTTTTTCTGTTGTCATCTTTGTTTTCATGTACAATTCAATTTTTTTCTTCAGCTGCATATGTTTGTGAGTTCTTACTCCAAGATGATTAATTAGGGGTCTGATATTTTCTGAAGGAAGATTCAGAATTGAAGGAGGTAGCATAATAAATAAAACTAAAAGACACACAGAAGTTCCAAAAGGTAATGAAAAGAAAAAGGTAAATGAAATTGTTAGTCGTGAAATAGGAGAGACACTTATTGTATTCCTGTCTCCTTACCGTCATTTGTCACTGGCCACCCAGATTCTTCCCATAGAGCTCAACAGTGAAAAGCCTGTATCATTTTTACTGAATCATATTTTCCAATCTTGTTAAAAATTCTTATTTTGGAGGATTGCCCAGAAGAGAGTCAAGCCAAGCTCTCTTTGAGAAGCTCATGGAGACTGTGTTTATTTATGTTCTTTGGCAGTAAGTCTGACTTGGGGTTAGTTACCCAAGATGACCTAAGCCACACTCTGCTTTTTATCACTCTAGTCTTGCTTCTCTGTTTTGTTTTGGGTAAAAAAAAGACAGTGACTACCCTCATGGATGAATTAAAATCAGCTCCATTTACCACGAGCTGTTCAATCCATCCTGACTCAAGTCACTGACAAGGGACAGAGACTCAGGTGCCTGTCCTACTTGAATGCCCCGCAGCAGGGTATCCAGCTTGCCCTGAGCAGTGGCATATTTGGGGGAATCACAGAGAAACATCAGTCACAGGAAAGGGTTACCCCAGACATTCAAACAGTGTCTCCAGTTCTTGCTCTTCTCACATACAAATCTTTTGAACTCTATGTTCATGGCCATGGCCGTGACTCATTCAGGTCGGGGAGAGACTCAGGTTTTCACACAGAAGGAACGAGAACCTGGAAGGCCTGACAGAACCTGTCCTCCATGATGAGAAAGACTGTACGAGAAGAGATTTCTAACCACCACACAGAAAACACAGTCCTTGCTTCTGTGATTCCGCTCTCTTAGGAAGCCTTCCGTGAAGAAATTCCTTTGGTTTCTCTGGTACGTGTGAGGCAAGTATGATGGGAGGTACACCCGTCAGTGGATGTCCAGGTGCATGAATATTCCCTGCCTGGTGCATGAATCTTCCCTGTCCTCCTCTGACATGAATCGGGCTGTTAGCTCTCTATACGGAGGACACGGCCTGGTTTCCCTGTCAAGGCCTCTCTCTCCCAGAGTGCTTTCATGGTGCTTACCTCCCCACATGACCTACAATGGCAGTTTCTACACTTGCGTGTCACTTTCTGAACCCGTTACCCTGGGGACCACAGAGAGCTGACAACACTTGAAGGAGCAGAACACCCTCTGCTGGAGGAAACACCCTCTTGGTCACCAGCAGCATTGATGGAAACTATTTTGTCTGTAGATGAGCTGGCAGGAAGCCAAGAAGATGGCCCTTCACTTCCCAGTGGTTGAACCTAACTAGACACACATGTCCACATAATCAGTGTCTCTCTCCTTCCTAGAGAGTCAAGGCCAGTGCTCGGGTCCTCACCGCAGACCCAGATTTCCATGATCAGATCTTACTTCACACTCTGCAGGCAGAACAACTGTGTCTTTAGTGCTTTTCCTCCAACCCCACAACATGATTATGTGAATTTGTTCACATGATAAAGGCTGTACCCTCTGTTGGCTCTTTCAAATCTGCTGCAGCCACAGGACATTTGCATAGTGTCCCTAGGGAGGACCTTCCCTTGCAAGTCTGAGATAAAAGGTCACCTCTAAAATGGTCTTGACTTATGAGAGCTCATCAGTTCAACTTCACAAAATGAAATTCCCTGCTCAGCTCTTGGGGCTCTTCATGCTCTGGATCCCAGGTGAGTGCAGAGGGGGGATGAGAGAGGAGAATGGGGTGTGGAGGGTGAGCGAGAGTGACCCCACTGCTCCCCATGTGTACTCTGACCATAAATGTTCATGCTCCAAGGAAGAGAACTTGATCTTATGAGATTTAGACCACCTAAAATGAACAATGACCAGTGTTGGATGAAGACTTTGAAAAAGAAAGAATCACCTTTGTGCCTTGTAAATATTACTGTTTTCATTATGATGTGGGTCATTTTCTTTTTCAAAATGATTAACCTGAAGTAATTAACAAAAAGAAAATCACGAAAATGGCTTATAAGGTCTGTATGCATCCTTGACCTTCTCTCTCATTATTTTAGGATCCAGTGGGGATATTGTGATGACACAGAGCCCTCTGACCCTGCCCATCACCCCTGGACAGCCAGCCTCCGTCTCCTGCAGGGCCAGTCAGAGCCTCCTGCACAGTAATAGAATCAACTATTTAAATTGGTACCAGCAGAAGCCGGGCCAGTCTCCACAGCTCCTCATCTATACGGCTTCCAACTGGGCCTCTGGGGTCCCTGACAGGTTCAGTGGCAGTGGGTCAGGGACAGATTTCACCCTGAGAATCAGCAGGGTGGAGGCTGAGGACGTCGGGTTTTATTACTGCCAGCAAGCTCTACAAACTCCTCCCAGGGTGATTAAACGTTGAACGAAAACCTGCCTGGCTGGGGATTTCAACTGCCCCAAAGTGTTGCTTGTCTGGGTGGCCCACAGCAGGTCGTCCGAGTGTGTGTAAGTGGAAGACGTTGGACACCCCAGGGGACTAGATCGCAGCTGAGGGCCCCGTACCACGAGGACTTCGGTCCCCCTTGGGGCCCCACGTGCTAAGTTCCCATCAGGTGCCACAGCCTTCGGATGGCAGAAGCGGTCCTGCGATGGGTCTGTGGACTTACCATGGTTTCTGCTGGTTGTATTGTTAGGGATGAAGTCGGCCTCCCAGGCTGGGGCATGTTTGGCTTCGGGAAGTCCCGCCCCATGGTTTTCCAGGACGGAGAACATGTTTATGCTCCATCACCTACGTGCACAGTTGCTATAAATCCTTTGCAATCCTTCTTATATTAGACTTTTATTGTGTCCATGTTGGTAGATCCTGAAGTGGTATTGTGGTAAAAATGTACATTTCTTTGATGATCAAGACGTTGAAAATTTTTTTATCACGTTTATTTTTCATTATCCATTTGGATACCCTTTCTTTGGAAAGTGCTTGTTTTGCTTGTTTAAATTATATATTATGTATACTTCCATATCTTTGTAATGATATAATACATAATTTGCATGTTTATATATAAGTATATATAGCTTGTCTTTTCTCTTCTAGGGAGGTCCTTATACATTCAGAAATAAACTTTGTCATACTGGAGAATCCGCTCATGCTTCACGGCATGTCTGAACTCAGCTCAGGTCATAATCGTGAAGGACACGAGCATGAGCCACACATCTGGCTCTGTGCTGACAGCTCAGAGCCTGGACTTACCACAGATTCTGTGTCACTCTCTTTCTGTTCCATTCCGCACCACCCAACAGCATTCTGTGTCTCAAAAATAAATAAAAACATTTAAAATTTTTAAAAATATATTAAAACATTTCCCCCTTTAGAGACCAAAGGTACCCTCTTACGCTGTCTTCATGAAGCATAATTACTTTAATGCTTATGTGTAGGAATATGATCTTCCAATGACTCAAGCTTTTGCATAATGTGAGATGGGTCAAGCTTTTTATTTCCACTTCTATAATTCATTAAAAAGGAAAAATGACCAGTAATCCACCTTCCTGCCTTTGTTAGAAATTAAGGGCCTGTGTACACATGGGTCATTTCCTAGAGTTCCTGTTTTGTTCTATTTGTTTCTCTATCTTTTATACATCATATACACTACAGTGTTTTAGGCAGGTATATAATAACTTTTAAAACCTCATATTATTTGTTTTGTGACTTTATTTTGCTTCTTAGCAGTTTCTTGGATACTGTAGATCATAGAAATTTAACCTATATTAGAATATAATTTTTTTCAAATTCAAAAAAAGTCCTTTGGTAATTTTTATAGATTGCATTGAATATTTATATCAATTTGGGAAAGATGGAAACGTAATTAACATTGAGTCCTTTACTGTCTTAACATAGAAAATGTCTCTATATAGCAAAATCTCTAACTCGCTATTAATATTATATACATTTTCTTACATTTACTTTGAAAGACAGGAGAGAGAGAAAGAAAGAGAAAGTGAATGGGGAAGGACAAAGAGAGGGGGAGAGTGTGAATCTCAAGCAGGCTCCGTGCTATCAGTACAGAGCCCCACGTGGGGCTGGTTCTGTGAAATCATAACCAGAGCCTAATCAATAGTGGGACACTTAACTGACCGAGCCACCCAGCCACCTGAGATATTTTACAGATTGGCAGTGAATCCAAATCCTTTACTGAAATATTTCTAGCATTTTTTTCAGATTTTTAAATATTCACGTACACAATTTGTTATCATAAGTAAAGATTATCTAATGGAATATATTTAACAAGTTTTTACATTATGAAGACAAAATGCAGAGGGAGATACCACTGCATCCTATTTCTTGTCCTTTTTTTTTCCCCCTTATTCCTTTTTAACCTCAGGTATTTATGGTAGACTTAGGTGTGACTGTTTCCAGTCTCCTATCCTGGTTACATATGAGTCTTTTGTTCTTTACTAGGTGAAGGTTTATTGAGGAGACGGATCATGTGTCTTCCCTACAGACTCTGGCCTAGTGATGGGTGTCATAGTGTCAACTTCATGAGTGACAGTGAAGTCTCTCAGTCCAGACTCAGGACCCCACATCAGAAAATCCTGACAGTTGCTATACCACCACACAGCCATTAGATGGCAGACAGACCCCACAGTAAACCAAAGAAACATCGTCCTGATCTTAAAATGCTGAGAAGGCGAGAGTGATACTGTCCAGTTATCCCCCAGGAGCTCCGAAGGCTGAATGGGTTTCTGGTGTGATGGGGACACTGTTGTTTCCCCTAAGAAATTGTTTCCCATAAGAAATCTCTGACTTGGGGGAGCTGAGAGGTGTGTTTCTGTGTGTATCCACAGCTCATATATACCTTATGCTGTGTGTCTGTCCTTATATCTATGTATCTATGTATCTATCTATCATCTATGTATGTATGTATGTATGTATCTACTATCTATCTATCTAAATTTTTTTAAATGTTTTATTTATTTCTAGGAGAGAGAGAGAGAGACAGCATGAGCCAGGGAATGTCAGAGAGAGAGGGAGTCACAGACTGAAACAGGCTCCAGGCTCTGAGCTGGCAGTCAGCACAGAGCCCGACACGGGGCTCGAACCCACGAACCGCGAGATCATGACCTAAGCGAAAGTCGGACGCTTAACCGACTAAGCCACCCAGGCACCCCTCTGTCTATCTATCTAAATATCTAGGGCAAAAAAGAGATGAAAGACAGGATACACACCATGTTGTAACAAACGGTTACCAAAAATCGAACACTCACTTCCTAAAGCATAAAATTCTACTCCTTTAGTTCTCTACCTGTGAGTGATTCTTTCTCCCTGTGAAGGTCTTTTTACTTTCATCCTCCCAGAAAGTCCCAGGGTGAGTATAATTCATTGTTTAATGATTATTAAAGTGTCTTAAAACATTAACCTGGAAACAGCAGACACTAGAGGATCTAGAACTCTCTCTAGTTCATCCTGTGGTCAGGAGATACTCTGCCAATCAGCCGGAGTGGGGTGGCTCTGTTTCCTCCTGGACAGTAGCTGAGAGGAATCCAAGCAGGATGGTCATTCTCCTGACAGAAAGTGACTCGGGACACTCAAGTCCACATCTTTAGGGTCTCTGGAGCTTTCTCAAGACCAGGGCTGTGAGCGCTGTGTCTTCCCAGACACTCAGATCCTTCTTCACACACAGCAGTAAGGAATTTATCTCTGGTAGTTTCCATCCAAGCACAGAAAACATAGGAAGGTACTTTGCTCACAGGAGAGGTCCCTGTGGCCCTGCCTTTGGCTCTTTCCCCTCTGCCACACCCACCAGGGGATTTGCATGTGGTCCCCTGGGAGGCCCTGCCCTCTGACATAAAGCTCAGCTCTGCCCTTCTTTACCTGTGAGGACCCATCAGTTCTGCTTCTCACAATGAGGTTCCCTGCTCAGCTGCTGGGGCTGCTGGTGCTCTGGATCCCAGGTGAGGGCGGAGGGGGTGAGAGAGGAGCACGGGGTGTGGGGGGAGAGCTCTGGGGGCGCCCCTGCTCCCCATGTGTATTCTGTCCATGGGTGGGACTGCCCTCCAGCAAGGGGAATTTAATTTGGGGACCTGGGAAATCAAGAAGAACCAGAAAGGAACAAGGAACAGTGCTTTAGTGAGATGCTGGAGAAGAAAGAAGCTGCTTTGTGCCTGCAAGTCTTGGGTTGTCTTTGGAAAGTGTATATATTTAAAGTATGAATCAAACCACAAAAATGATTTGGCCTAAAATACACAGAAAAGTATGTAATATCAGAAAAATTGGCACAACATCGTACTTTTCTCTCATTATTTTAGGATCCAGTGGGGATGTCGTACTGACACAGACCCCACTGTCTTTGGCCATCACCCTTTGACAGCCGGCCTCCATCTCCTGCAGGGCCAGTCGGAGCTTCCTGGACACTGATGGAAAAACCTATTTACATTGGTACCTGCAGAAGCCAGGCCAGTCTCCACGGCGTCTGATCTATCGGGTTCCAAATCAGGACTCTGGGGTCCCTGACAGGTTCAGTGGCAGCGGGTCAGATACAGATTTCACCCTGACAATCAGCAAGGTGGAGGCTGAGGACATCGGGGTTTATTACTGCATGCAAGCTACACACGCTCCTCCCACAGTGGTTAAGCCCTGAACACAAACCTCTCTGCGTGGCACGGCACCACCCTCCACACGTGTTGCTTGAGTGGGGAGCAGGCACAGCAGAGCCTCGGTTGCCCTAAGAGGCAGGTGCTGGTGACGTCAGGGCATCATGTGCAGCTGAGGGCTCTGGACCGTGTCATGGCCCCTCAGCTGCACCAGCTCAGCAAGGCAGGACCCGCCTTGGAACAAAGGTGATCGACTTGCCCTCTGAACTGTACGAGGGACGGGATAGCAGACCTGCACCCCATCTGCACCCTCCCCGCCTGTGTGCATGGGTCAAGGACATCGAGTCCGCTGAAGAGTCAGCAAACGGAGGCATACTTGTGACAACACAAGTTCAATGCATTTGAAGCTAACAAATTTTGCTATTTTTCAGTATAATATTCGGTATCGTGCAGATATTATTTTTTATTTTTGCATGTTCTGAACTTCTTCGTTACCATTAACACGATTCCCTCTTGTACAATGTTCTCCAGACAACGTTCCATGCACACTGTCCCCACAGCAAACACGGCTGAGAACACTTTGTCAGAGCGTTTGGTATTTGAGGACCCAAACACACTGTTGTAATTTCATAGCACAGATGAGCTTCTGCTCCTATAAAGAAAATGCGGTCATTACACACAATGGATGTCACTCACCATAGAAGAGAATGAAGTACTGCATTTGCGACAAGGTGGATGACCCATGATGGTATTATGGTAGGTGACCTAGTCAGACGGAGAAAGACAAATAGCATATTTGTCCATATGATTTGGATTTCATTTACATATCAGTGTAAAAAAGAAAACATACTAAAGCAGCAAAAAAAAAAAAAGCATTAGCAGACAAATGAATACAGAGAACAAACTGGTCGTTGCCAGATGGGAAGGCGGCAAAGGGGATGGAAAAAACAGGTGCAAAG